CGCACAGCCCTTACCTGATGATGCGTACGCTGGGCTCGCACATCTCGTCGTGAACGAGACGGAGGCGGCCGTGCTGGGCGGTGTCAGCGAGGCAGAGCTCGAGAACGAGTCGGGCCTGGAGAGCGTGTCGAGGAAGTTCCTGGATCTCGGCGTGCAGAATGTGATTGTGACGCTGGGCGGGCGCGGCGTGTTCTACATGACTGCGGCCGGTTCGAAAAAGGGTCTTGTTCCCGCCCTGAAAGCTAAAGTCGTCGATACGACGGCCGCGGGAGACACGTTTGTCGGGCAGTATGCCCTCGACGTCGTGGGCGCGGGAAGTGGAAGTGGAGCAGCGTTCGATATTGAAGCTGCGGTTCACAAGGCGAATCGCGCAGCTGCTAAGACGGTTGAGAAGCTGGGGGCTCAGGACTCGATCCCATGGCGTGATGAGTTATGATATAGAGATCAGCTTAGGACCACGCCTCCGACCAAGCATAATAGAAGTTAAATCGCATAATCAAACACGTCAAAGAAAACACAGTGCTCCTCATAGGAGGGAACTTTTAAAATGCAAACTTACACTATCCAAAAGCGCTCATATTATCCTGTCGCTAACACGCATTCTTCATAGAGCACTCCATCTTCCAGTATCTTGCCCTGTAAGCCCATCAATAAAGGCGTAGGCTTAGGTCACACAAAAGAAGAAGCCGGCACAGAGTAGGGCCGCATGGAAAATAGACCTCTATACCTTCTAGGGTCTATATAAAAAATTGTGTTTCTAAAACAGCTTTCACAATAGCCATAACGTCTATGTCCAAATCTCTACACCCATCTACTCTCACCACCATCCTGCAAAACTCCACCGCCCTTCTTTTCTGCGCTCAGGGGGGATGTTTTCTTTGTTAGAAGTGTTAGACGATGAATCTCCCCAGGCCTCTTTACTACTCATCTCAAGATTCATCATTGAAGGGACCAGGCTCTTCAGGCTCTCTGCGCCTATTGACCTCTTGTTACGCAAGGCTACGTCGCGTATCGTTTCCCTTCTACGATCCACTTCTGATTTCACTTTTGTTGGGCTGGTAGTAGTCGACAGCCTCCCCGTCAAAGGCCGCTCAGTTGCAGCTGATGAGTTTCCAATATTGGTTGTAGGTATACTTGGACGACTATGAGAGGCCTTGCGGCGCATCTCTGTCCATATCCTACGGGCAGGGTCATCTCCTTGTTCTGGGGACGGGGGTTGAAATTCAACTTGTCTTCGTGACAACGAGGTGAATGGATCCAAAGATGTTGTCGCCTGGTGCATGAGGCTTTTCTTAGCCGCCATAACTTTGGAATTATCAACAACGGTCGTATTATTCATGACTACTTCGTCGGCTTGATGCGTCATGTGGGAAAATATTTGGTTGGCACGAAGGGGGCCCCAGTATGAAGCAACAATATCGAACAGTGAACTTTTACCATGGGACATGCTCCGTGGCGAGTGCAAAGAGTGCTAGTCGATGACACCAGTGGTAGTTGTCTTAAGCTGTGTTCGACAGTCTATTGTCCCGTCCATTGGTGTCGCGTTGTTCGATGTGGAAAACCCAGAATGGTGATATTGTAAGCACACCTGGAGGTATTTAATATGATCAAGCCCAAGCTCGCTTTCGAGATCAGCGATAAGTTCATCAGACTTTCGTACCATAGCTCTATGGGGTTTTTGGCGTCGTCTGCAATCTATTTGGACCTTTGCTAGTACCAGAATAGTAGAGCCGAGATTGAGAAGTCTAAGGCAGTGTAAGCGGAACAGAGGTCAATCTAAAGGAAATAGAGAGCATGGTCTCTTACCTCTTCTGATCGCCTGCTATAACTTCAAGTATGGCAGTTTGAGACGTAGGAAAAACATCAGCTTGTAGGTTGTAAAGATATCCAAACCGAGATACACTGCCTACACGCAGAGGATTCGATAAAAGTGAGCTATCTTCGGTGTTCGCATCCAACATGTCATCAATGTGTGGACGAGACAGTCGAACAGAAATCTCGATAGTCGCCCAAACTGTAGATATGGAGTTGTTAAACGTTTGCACCTCGGGTGTTATCGAAACATGTGGAACGAGAAGGTGGCAATCATCATTGCAGCTGGCCGACGTGGGTATGCTGGAGAAGGAGGCGTCCCTTTGCGCTGAGCTTCTATACCCAGGAGGCTCCGAAGCTGATACCTCTTCGAGGAATCCTGTGCTTGGTGACTGTTCGATCGAAGACAGATCGGAAGATGAGCTACGACTCTGCGAACTGTACCTGCGGCAAGTGGTACCAGAAGAAGAGATCCGCTGTCTCGAAAACCACCGTAATGGAGCTTGCGACTTTATTTGTCGCTGGGCTGAAGGAATTCGACATGTGTTTGACTTAAAATCATTCATCTTGAAGGTAGATTTTCCGTTCGTAGCTTGTTTGTCGTGCGCGTGGGGACCAGAAGTAGCCTAATCAACTGGACCACGGCATTGACGCTTCTTCATTACACTTAGCGGCCGTTCCGGGCCATAGTCAATGCTGCCGTTGCTCGTGTCTCTTTTTGTGTTGTGACGAAACTCCACGGTCTTAGTCCTTTTGATTATATGGAGCGGGGAGGGGATATCGGACTTTGGAGTTTGGCTTTTCCATGGAGATGGTCTTCCTCTAGGTAGCGACATTGTCCTCGTTTTGGCCGATAAAAATGCTCTCGATAGTCACTAAGCTATCGACCGGGCGATTAATGAGATTTAATGGGATTACTGGAGGCGAGTCTCTGCGTCGTAGGCTTCTTAGTAGAGGAAGACGTGGGCAATGAACATGCAGGTTGAACCCTATGATGATGCAGCCTATGAAAAGTAGAACGAGTACTCCAGGGATCACAACGGTAACAGCGATGATAGTGGGTGAAACCTTTACAGGCATAGCCGAATGATGCTCAATTGATATTGGCCTTTAAGTGCGAGACACTGACATAAATGTGTTCCAGATATAGGATGTCCTTAGAAGCGCTGAGCAAGACAGGAACACGAATGAATTTACATAGTTATGGGGGTATATGGTTGCGATAGCACCTCGTGCAGTTGCAACGAGAGAGAAACAAGACACAAATTCAGAAACTGAAAGAGTTGCAAGTTCCCAGAATGAAAAAAACGCGGTGAGTGAGTCGCTCTTATCTTTATAGAGTGTAAATTTCCTAGTAGATGAGACGAATGCAGGCGAGAACACCTACCGCGGTTTAAATATGCAGTACTTGCCTGAAACGATGAATTAGGCTTTAAGAAGGACGATCCAAGGTGCGTAAGAGATTGTCCTTTATAGACTTGAGGTCGTCATCTCCGATATTGAGAAATCGCATCTGTCGACCAGTGAGCAATTCAAGCCTGTAAGTCGTATCGTATGTCATAGGTATCACAATTTGCACAAACTTACAACATCATCAGCAGCACCAACGCCACCAAACAAGACCGGCTCCGATAAGCTGGTCGAGACGCCCTTCTTGACTCTCTCCTCCCAGACACCTTCCCAGTTCCACTCCCCAGGTCTTCTAGCTGAGCCTTGACTTGTCGTGGATGTTGCCGCGGCCTCCACCCCGTCACCTGAAGATAGTGGCTCAAACTCCTTCCCCTTCTCAACGCGATAGGTTCGCCAGGCGTGCCATGCACCTGGATTCCCCGCTGCTTCAAGTGGTATCGTGTCCAACACATCTTCGTCGTCAAAGGTGCTGCGAATGTAGTGGAGGACGGCAAATATGGACACCTCCTCCTTTTTCGTGTCAAAGAATCCGGGGGATTGACCCATCGCTGAGTTCCTCGAGCTATGTGTGCCTCCACTACTGAGATCCGCTGGCGGCGGCGGTCTGTGTGGAGTTTGTCGAGCTGCTTGGTCTCGATCAAATTTTTTATTGGCAGCTGATTTCCGGCCCCGACGACCAAACCAGTCAGGAAATCCGTGCCTTAAACTGAAGCCTCCAGGTGGCAGGCGTTCCTCATCAGTTGCGCTCACTGTGCCGTTATCCTGTACGTCGGTGGAATACATATATGTGCTAAGAGGTGTGATTAAAGGATGGAACATATCGGTTGAGAAGGTCACCAAGGGTGGCAGCTTGGGATATGAGTCCGGAAATGAAATCTGGAAGCGCATGACAGCCGGGGCATACGGGCCTCGTTTTCATGTCAGAAGAAGCAACAAACGAAGGTTTCTTGCAAGTCTCACCATCGCGCACAAAAATGGCGCCAGACCAAAGACTTGGATCACCGGGTGTTAGGCCGACATAGACTCCATCAGGACAAGCTTGTTTGAGTCCAGCACTGAGGGAAGTTCTTGTCAGTCGTCGTGTTCTCGATTAGAAGCTTAGTCGTGCTGCTGTTGCAAACTACACCTACAATTCGGCCAAGAGATGCTGTCTCCTAAGCGCAGGTAACGTGCTGAACTTTTGGGAGTTCATTTCGTTTTACACGACCAGACGTTCCGCCAACATCAAGGGAAAAGCTAGAGAAAAAGACGGAGTGTAACTGTTGAGACACTCGGCTCTTTAATGCGTTCATGCACGGCCTATCTATGGGCAGTTGATCATCAGGGCAGGGCTTATCGATAAGATGCGGTTTGCAGTTTGCCGCATTGTCAATATAGGTACCTTTATCTGTCTTATAAAAGTAATTATCTCACGCCTAGTATGCTACTCTTCTTATTCTCTGCTGCTGTTATGTCATGAATGTAAATTTTCAGATCGATTTTACGAAGATGAGGGTGGGTTGGCCAATTGTAGGTTGGTAGGACTGCCTCTGCTTTTCTGTATCTACAAGCATAACCATCAGAAACAATTCTATAAACGCCGAAGAAGGTCGTAAGTGGAAGTAATTCATATTACCGCCTTTTGCCGCACGGACCGTAGAGAACCTTTGAGATAGGTTTTACAAACGATAAAGGTTAGTAAATCGACAAAAAAGGATATTAATAACTGGGTTTTACTGTCTTAAATTGAAATGGGAATCATGAGCCATGGCACTTGGTAAGTCAAAAAGAGGATTAATTGACCGGCCCGGGACTCGAACCCGGATCCCCCGCTTCGCTGAACTGCAGTAGCTAGTCAGAACGCTGCTTTGCCATTAAGCTAACCGGCCTATAAATTGTTTTGGTGGGTCGCCTCAACAATATCATTTATAAAGTCTAGCGATGAGGTCCATACTTACTATGTAGCACACCTGTACGAAGTACATCCCTGTTCAAAGGTCATGTGAGAGTTTGCGCGCCAGCAGCCCATATCTACCTAAGTCTAATTTATGTAGGTACATCTTTTTCAATTCTCTACAACACTATCCCCAATATTTACCTGTCAACAACTTCAACGCGACCTAGATCCTCGGCTATTTATTTTTATACCAAACCACGGACAAGGTAAGTCATCACTTTCCCAGCTACAGATCCTATTTCCACCACTCCTTCTACCTCGACTATTTTCCTCTAATTCATGTACATCTCTCTTTTTTGTTCTCTACAACACCATTACTAGTATCTACAAGCACCTTGTCGTATGGTCCAGTTCTCACTTTGTTATCTCTTTCGTTAGATACAACAATATCGCATGTCGACTATAGCGATGCCTACAATGGCTACCTATCATCATCTTCAACGCGACCCAGATTCTCGGGTGCTTTTTAACAACAGAATTACAACTATGGACGACTTATATAAGGTTGTTGTTGGTGGTAACTCGGCCTTTATCGCATTAGACACCGAACACGTACCCGTCGAAAACGAAAACAATCGCATACTTCACCAAGTCGGCCTCACATATCTTCCAGCTACGTCTACAGCTATAATGCTTAACGCTTCTATTTCCAGTAGACATCGCCTTAGCGACTTCTACAATACACACCAGCTTCAAAGCTTAACTCTTAATATAGAACTAAGCAACGAATTACAAGAGGATCTGATCCGCTTTCGAGGCAATATTCCAAACCGTCGTCCAAGCCGTTTTGGCTACGAACAACAAATTCATATCGATAGCCTAGAATCTGCGATCATCAAATTTATCCAATCTTGCAATAACTCAAATCTTGATACAAATTTTGTTCTTGTTGGATTTGAGATGGCAGCTGAGTGGAACTACTTATCGAAGAACTTCCCAAAGGCTATGCCATACTTTTCGTCGTGGATAGACCTCCGCGATATTGGCAAAGACATCACTTCAGCTAAAGTTTTGCCTGGGCGGGTTTCTATGCTCCAAACCTTTGGGTACCACTGGAAAGATATTAAAGGCAGTAATCGGAATGGTTCGGCTGATAATGCGGGAGACGATACTGTATCGATTTTGGCTATAGCAAATGCTTTTTTTGACCCCGAAAACCAAGACAAGCTACGCAGCCGAGTCGCTCAACAAAACAGAAAGAAAGCGGGCTCTCTTTTTATTGACGAGAATAAGACGGCGCTTTTACAGGCTATAAGCACTTCTGAAATAAAAGAGAAGCAGCGATTAAGAGAATCCAAAAAGGCGCAAAGCCCAGAAAGCGACTTTGACAGCTTGGGGGAAACTTTTATCGGGCCTTGCTAATCGTGGTTTCGGGTGTCACACGGCGTACCACATAAATCAAGTAAATTCGGCGCGACGCTAGCACGGGCCAACACATATGAAGACCGCTTATTGCACCACTTGTGTTTTTACGGTCTTTATATGGTGTTAGCCCGTGCCGGCCCTGTAGTGTCGCGCCGAATTTACTGGATTTATGCGGTACTCCGCCAGGACCATTTAGAGAAGGAATAAAATTGATTCTCAGCCCTCCCAAAGAGCCCTTGTCACATCGGGATACAAATTGTCGTGTTGGGATATTACAGAGTGAAGAGACAGTCTATCAAATAGCTAAAGATAGCAGGTTGGTAGATAACAGGGCTTAATAGAAAGATGAATCGATTCCTGGAACCCCTGAAACCATGGGTGAAGGCTTCTCAAAATTGAGAGATGGGCATAACTTGTTTTGCGCTTTGTAGCAATTTGGGAGGGGTATTTTCGGAGCTTGAGCGCTTTAGGTTTTACTTCGGCTATCAAAAAAATAAGGATGAACAGGCAGGACCCCTTCTATTTGACCCCAATTCATCGCTGCACCCAGCGTCAATGATACGTATTTCCAACCTTTATCACCGTCGTGATAAATTGAACTCTATGAAACCAGAGGAGCAAGGACCTAGGAAGACCGAAACCCTAGGAGATACTGACTATTTACTGGGATTTCACGACCCCCAGAGCGTCCGTCAAGCGACTCGCCGTCTCAGGCAAAATGATTTCCCTAGCCAATCCCATAACCTCACCAGCATTGCCGGTGTCGATTGAACCCCCTCATTAACCGGGTGTCAATTCCCCCCACATGACTCCCAGAGACGCGGATCTATGTTCCTCACTTTATAACGAGTGAGTGCTATTCGGGGGTTTTTATTGCCCGTGATGTCTCTTTTGCAATGGCTCGACGTAGGTGTACATTTCTCCCGACAACACTTTTATTGTCCCTATAATTCCTTGAAATAGGAACTGGTGTGCAGTGGTGGACTTTATCACCAATTTAAGCGTGGTATACCATCATGTCGGACGTTACAGACCTACGGATATCGGTGATCGGCGCAGGTGAGAGCTCCTCACAACCTCCCCTACTATAGAGACCTGTTTTGACTCTAAATGCTAACTCGTGTAGGTATGGGTGGCCTGGCCTGCGCCCTCGCCTTTGCGAAAAAGGGGTTCAAGAAAATCGACGTCTACGAAACCGCGTCGAATCTCGGCTTTGTTGGCGCAGGCATACAGCTGGCGCCGAATCTGGCCCGTGTCCTGGACCGTTGGGGATGCTGGGCTAAGATCCAGGCCGAGGCGACTACGGTTACGTCGTCGAGCATTCGCGAGGGCTCTACGAATAAAGAATTGACTCTCGTCCAGATGGGCGATGTTTCCGAGCTGTATGGCTATCCTCACTGCGTTGGCCATCGTGCATCCCTGGCAGGTAGTTTGTTCGAAGGATGCCAAAATGAACCAGCCATAACTTTCCATTTCTCGACCGCCTTGGAGAGTCTCAATGCGTTCGGCCCTGATAAAGTATCATTCACGGTACGGCCCCGCGGCGGCGAGACGTACGACGTGGAAACCGACATCCTGCTCGCCGCAGATGGCATCAAATCCTCTGTACGAACAGCCCTGCTTAGGTCAATCAACAGCTCGGCCGAAGTCGAAGATACGGGGCAAGCGGCCTACCGCATTATGTTGTCGCGGTCTCAGATGGCGCATGACCCCGAGATGCTCGAGCTGTTGGATTCAGATTGTGCGTTGAGGTGGATAGGCGAGAAGCGACACATTGTGGCCTATCCGATTAGCAACAAGAGCATTTACAACTTGTCCACGTGCCAGCCGGACACAAACTTTGCCGCAGCTCCTAGCGTGACATACACGACGCGAGGCGATAAGAGTGCCATGTTGAAGGTATATGGGGACTTCTGCCCCCTCGTCCTGCGCATGCTGGATCTTGTCCCCGAGGGGGAGGTTTGTGAATGGAGGCTACGCTCGCACAAGCCGTTGGAGAGGTGGACGCTCGGCGCAGTGACCCTCATCGGCGACGCCTGCCATCCGACCCTACCGCATCTCGGCCAGGGTGCCACCATGGCCATTGAGGATGCCGCTGTGGTGGCCGAGTGTGTCAGTGCGGTTCCTGTTGTCGATGGAAAGATTGAAAGGGACGCACTTTCACGTGCTCTACAAGTGTATGAGCTGCTGCGTAAAGACCGCACATATAGTCTCGTCGAGATGGCGGCGTTTTCAGGACGTACACTTCACCTGGGCGAGGGCCAAGCTAAGGAAGAGCGCGACCGCCAATTCGCAGAGGCGCGGAAGAAGGGCAATGCGGTGCCCGACAAATGGGCGAGTCCTGATGTACAGAAGATGATCTATTCGCACGACTGTGTCACAGAGGCGCAAGAGAAGTTTGCTGAGTTATTCTCGGGTTTAGCTACGGAGAGGATCAATGGCGTCGCTAAATGATGTACATCAGCTAAGTTCCTTTTTTCACTACCACGGAGCACGCATCACCAAGAGCATTGGGTTGTTAGAGAGGCACACAGCAGTGGATTATGACAGTAGAATCTGAAATCTATACCTCTAGCGATTGTTCGTCCAGTAAAATTGCTGGATAAGAAGTATACAGCGAACTTGATGCTATTACAAAAGAACCTTACTGTGACTGTTTCCTATACCTAAACGCCAAATCCCATGGCCATACGAGCCTAGCACCTTTCAAATGATTGAAATACAATATAACTGACTCCTCCGAGGGCACAATGCGTATACCCACACCCAATCTCGACAATTGGTCGAGGTGTTTACCTTGGATGGCCTAGCATACAATGCAGCTCGTTTCCGAATAGCTATTGTGCTTGCCTTCCCTATCCCGTATAATCACGTCCTCGCCGCGCAGTCGCAACGCCCCTTTCCGAGAGAACGCATTTATCGCTCTGATGCTCTCCAATATTATTGACCTTCTACTGTACTCATATAACACACCATCTTTCGGTTGGCCCGCGATTGGTGGACCACCAGCAACACGCCCCGAGAGCTTAGAAGAGGAGATCGAGGCAGCAGCAACAGGCTAATGTTCCCAGCAGAGCACCTAGACACCCACCAGCCGCGCCACCACCAGCTGCTCTATCCTGGGGGTAGTAGCCGCCCTGCGGCGGATAATAGCCTCCCTGTTGCGGCGGATAGTAGCCGGGCCCTTGCGGAGGGTAATATCCCGGCTGGCCCTGCGGGGGGTATTGTTGTGGCATCTGTTGGTGGTAGCCCATGTTTGGCCCGGGTGCGTATCCGGGATAGTTCGGGTCTCCGCCGTACGGCTGTTGCTGCTGGTGATATGCGGCTTGCGGTGCCTGCGGGCCGCCGTGGTAGGCGGGCGGTTCGTCGTATTTATGAGACATTGTCGGTGGTGGTGGTGGTGATGGTTGGTGTATGTGGAAAATGGGGTGGGGGATTCGTTGGCTAGTTGGTTTCGGGAGAGTCGGCCGGGCCTGTAAGACGGCGTGGAAGGACGGAGATGATGAAAAGCGGTCGGTTGAGATGCACAAACTTCGCCAAGAAGTGTGTATGATGTAGATTGTGGAC